TGCCGTGCAAAAGTCAGTTGGGACCCATTTTGCACGTGCGCACGTGCAGGGTTCCGCTTCCAGATCTCGAGAACGGCTGGGCCGATTGTGCTCAAATTTGGCACATCGCTAGAGGCCGGTTAGTAGGGTGCCGTGCACAAGTCAGCTGGAGGTAACCCCTCGAAATTTCGCACGTGCAAGGCTCACCCTCTCGCTCGCTCCGTTAGTCGCCCCAAAAGGCGTTATACTGGTGCTAGTTGTTTGTGTGTCGTTGCAGTCTCGAACGAAAATTGGTGTTACTTGCCTGTGCGTGGCTGCAGTCTACTAAACAAAATGGGGCGCTAGCTATTTGTGCATTGCTGCAGTCTCCACTGAACGAAAATTGGTGCTAGTTACTTGTGCGTCGCTGCAGTTACTAAACAGGCTATGTTAGTTACTTGTGCGTCCCTGCAGTCTCCACTGAACAAAAGGTGGTGTTAGTTACTTGCGAGTCGCTGCAGTCTCCACTGACCAACATGTTGTGTTAGTCACTTGTGCGTCGCTGCAGTCTTTACTGAACAAAAAATGGTATTGGAGTAATATGTACCTGTGCGGGCGTTGTAGTCTCTAAAGGACGAAAGGTGGTGTTGGTTGCTTGCGCCTCGCTGCAGTCTCTGAGAAATGAGAGACGCTGGTCGTTTGTGTACCATTGCTGTGTCTTGTGGACGAGAGCAGTCGTGTTCGTTTGCAATGGTAGTCAACGTTACGGGAGTGTTGTTTTTGCACTAGTTTTTCGGCTGTTCTTTGGAGAATCGTATGCATCCAACCGAGTCGGGAACTCTCCGGAGATCGTTCAGGACTAATGAAGTCACTGTTTCGGCACGGTTCCCCCGTCTATACCGATGGTTGTGTTATCTGAAAGTGGTTATATAGCGAACATCCAGTCCGGATGAGCCGTGGGAACTTCACAGGACAGGCGGATCTTGGTGAGGGTCCGACCTTGGGCCCTGCAGAAGAGAGTGATGACACGGCACCCACAGGAGAAGCCACTGAGCCGTGCAGCGCGTGAGACTGCACCAAACGCAGAAATAATGTCCCAACCGTCAGAACGGTCAGAGCTGTCAGCAGGCAATTGATGGGCCCAGATAAAATGCCAGTCACGATGTTACCAGTTTCAAGGTTTCAGGATCTCCAAGCGAAAAACTTGGCGACGGTAAGAAATAGGGACCACAGTATCATGCTCTCTGTTAGGATAAATGTCAAATGAAGCTGCAATGTTCGCTCAGTTTCAGGAGGAATTTTGACTTGTGCTTTTTGTATATAGAACGGCGCTGATATGGGCATTGCATCACTTCGAAATCATCGACAAAAATATGAATGACGATATGTGAACGTTCTGTCCCGAGCGGGTGTCTGTCATTTGTATAAATATTTTTTTGGCTGGAGTCGAACCCAAGGCCATACATAGGGTTGAAGCTTCCTGTGACCCGATTCGAACCTGTCTGTCTGTGCCCACCCTGTCTATGGATGCGCTGATCATGTTGGTGACAGTGCCAAGCCATCCTGTTTGTGACTCCCGCGCACCCTCATCTTATATGCATATCTCTGTCCTGTTCTGTTTATAGTAAGCTCGTTCTTGCGTGTAAATGTTCCGTTCCTGGCTTCAATCGTTTCGTTCCATTCTGAAACCGTCCCTGTCAGTGTATGTGTCCGTCCCCGTCTGTAACCGCTCCAGTCTCACCTGTGACAGCCCAGCCCGCCCCTGTCTGTGTCTGTGTCCGTCTGCTACCGCTCCGGTTTCACCTGTGACAGCCCAGCCCGCCCCTGTCTGTGTCTGTGCCCGTCTGTTACCGCTCCGGTCTCACCTGTGACAGCCCGCCCCTGTCTGTGTCTGTGTCCGTCTATTACCGCTCCGGTCTCACCTGTGACAGTCCGCCCCTGTCTGTGTCTGTGTCCGTCTGCTACCGCTCCGGTCTCACCTGTGACAGCCCGCCCCTGTCTGTGTCTGTGTCCGTCTGTTACCGCTCCGGTCTCCGGTCTCACCTGTGACAGCCCGCCCCTGTCTGTGTCTGTGTCCGTCTGTTACCGCTCGGGTCTCACCTGTGACAGCCCGCCCCTGTCTGTGTCTGTGTCCGTCTGTTACCGCTCGGGTCTTACCTGTGACAGCCCGCCCCTGTCTGTGTCTGTGTCCGTCTGTTACCGCTCCGGTCTCACCTGTGACAGCCCGTCCCTGTCTGTGTCTGTGTCCGTTTGTTACCGCTCCGGTCTCACCTGTGACAGCCCGCCCCCCGTCTGTGTCTGTGTCCGTCTGTTACCGCTCCGGTCTCACCTGTGACAGCCCGTCCCTGTCTGTGTCTGTGTCCGTCTGTTACCGCTCCGGTCTCACCTGTGACAGCCCGCCTCTGTCTGTGTCTGTGTCCGTCTGTTACCGCTCCGGTCTCACCTGTGACAGCCCGCCCCTGTCTGTGTCTGTGTCCGTCTGTTACCGCTCCGGTCTCACCTGTGACAGCCCGCCCCTGTCTGTGTCTGTGTCCGTCTGCTACCGCTCCGGTCTCACCTGTGACAGCCCGCCCCTGTCTGTGTCTGTGTCCGTCTGTTACCACTCCGGTCTCACCTGTGACAGCCCGCCCCTGTCTGTGTCTGTGTCCGTCTGTTACCGCTCCGGTCTCACCTGTGACAGCCCGCCCCTGTCTGTGTCTGTGTCCGTCTGTTACCGCTCCGGTCTCACCTGTGACAGCCCGCCCCTGTCTGTGTCTGTGTCCGTCTGTTACCGCTCCGGTCTCACCTGTGACAGCCCGCCCCTGTCTGTGTCTGTGTCCGTCTGTTACCGCTCCGGTCTCACCTGTGACAGCCCGCCCCTGTCTGTGTCTGTGTCCGTCTGTTACCGCTCCAGTCTCACCTGTGACAGCCCGCCCCCTGTCTGTGTCTGTGTCCGTCTGCTACCGCTCCGGTCTCACCTGTGACAGCCCGCCCCTGTCTGTGTCTGTGTCCGTCTGTTACCACTCCGGTCTCACCTGTGACAGCCCGCCCCTGTCTGTGTCTGTGTCCGTCTGTTACCGCTCCGGTCTCACCTGTGACAGCCCGCCCCTGTCTGTGTCTGTGTCCGTCTGTTACCGCTCCGGTCTCACCTGTGACAGCCCGCCCCTGTCTGTGTCTGTGTCCGTCTGCTACCGCTCCGGTCTCACCTGTGACAGCCCGCCCCTGTCTGTGTCTGTGTCCGTCTGTTACCACTCCGGTCTCACCTGTGACAGCCCGCCCCCGTCTGTGTCTGTGTCCGTCTGTTACCGCTCCGGCCTCACCTGTGACAGCCCGTCCCTGTCTGTGTCTGTGTCCGTCTGTTACCGCTCCGGTCTCACCTGTGACAGCCCGCCCCTGTCTGTGTCTGTGTCCGTCTGTTACCGCTCCGGTCTCACCTGTGACAGCCCGCCCCTGTCTGTGTCTGTGTCCGTCTGTTACCGCTCCGGTCTCACCTGTGACAGCCCGCCCCTGTCTGTGTCTGTGTCCGTCTGTTACCGCTCCGGTCTCACCTGTGACAGCCCGCCCCTGTCTGTGTCTGTGCCCGTCTGTTACCGCTCCGGTCTCACCTGTGACAGCCCGTCCCTGTCTGTGTCTGTGTCCGTCTGTTACCGCTCCGGTCTCGCCTGTGACAGCCCGCCCCTGTCTGTGTCTGTGTCCGTCTGTTACCGCTCCGGTCTCGCCTGTGACAGCCCGTCCCTGTCTGTGTCTGTGTCCGTCTGTTACCACTCCGGTCTCACCTGTGACAGTCCGCCCCCTGTCTGTGCCCGTCTGTTACCGCTCCGGTCTCACCTGTGACAGCCCGTCCCTGTCTGTGTCTGTGTCCGTCTGTTACCGCTCCGGTCTCACCTGTGACAGTCCGCCCCCTGTCTGTGCCCGTCTGTTACCGCTCCGGTCTCACCTGTGACAGCCCGCCCCTGTCTGTGTCTGTGTCCGTCTGTTACCGCTCCGGTCTCGCCTGTGACAGCCCGTCCCTGTCTGTGTCTGTGTCCGTCTGTTACCGCTCCGGTCTCACCTGTGGCTGTGACAGCCCGCCCCCGTCTGTGTCCGTCTGTTACCGCTCCGGTCTCACCTGTGACAGCCCGCCCCTGTCTGTGTCTGTGTCCGTCTGTTACCGCTCCGGTCTCACCTGTGACAGCCCGTCCCTGTCTGTGTCTGTGTCCGTCTGTTACCGCTCCGGTCTCACCTGTGACAGCCCGCCCCCGTCTGTGTCTGTGTCCGTCTGTTACCGCTCCGGTCTCACCTGTGGCTGTGACAGCCCGCCCCCGTCTGTGTCCGTCTGTTACCGCTCCGGTCTCACCTGTGACAGCCCGCCCCTGTCTGTGTCTGTGTCCGTCTGTTACCGCTCCGGTCTCACCTGTGACAGCCCGTCCCTGTCTGTGTCTGTGTCCGTCTGTTACCGCTCCGGTCTCACCTGTGACAGCCCGCCCCCGTCTGTGTCTGTGTCCGTCTGTTACCACTCCGGTCTCGCCTGTGACAGCCCGCCCCTGTCTGTGTCTGTGTCCGTCTGTTACCGCTCCGGTCTCACCTGTGGCTGTGACAGCCCGCCCCTGTATGTGTCTGTGTCCGTCTGTTACCGCTCCGGTCTCACCTGTGACAGCCCGCCCCTGTCTGTGTCTGTGTCCGTCTGTTACCGCTCCGGTCTCACCTGTGACAGCCCGCCCCTGTATGTGTCTGTGTCCGTCTGTTACCGCTCCGGTCTCACCTGTGACAGCCCGTCCCTGTCTGTGTCTGTGTCCGTCTGTTACCGCTCCGGTCTCACCTGTGACAGCCCGCCCCTGTCTGTCTGTGTCCGTCTATTACCGCTCCGGTCTCACCTGTGACAGTCCGCCCCTGTCTGTGTCTGTGTCCGTCTGTTACCGCTCCGGTCTCACCTGTGACAGCCCGCCCCTGTCTGTGTCTGTGTCCGTCTGTTACCGCTCCGGTCTCACCTATGACAGCCCGTCCCTGTCTGTGTCTGTGTCAGTCTGTTACCGCTCCGGTCTCACCTGTGACAGCCCGTCCCCGTCTGTGTCCGTTCCGCGCAGCACGTCCTGCCGCCGGTGGTCAACAGCGACACGCTGTACCGGGACCAGGTACCGACCCGGTACCGGCCCGCCGACAAACCCCAGGTCGACGACCCGGCCGACTACGACGTCTACTTTGACCCGGGTCAGACGTACAGCGGCCCGGCCGTCGTCGAGCCCGTCGTCGTCGACACCAAGCCCAAGTACCAGCCCAAGCCGTTCGTGCCGCGTGAGCGCAAACAGGTGAGGAAGGAGCGACTCTGGAGGGACACGCGCTTCTGAGATTAGGTCAGGATCGTTGGCCGAAGGCGAGTTAGAGGATCGGAGGCAGTTAGTGCATGTGGACCTCATGAACATGTTCATTTTCTGGCCAAGAGCTCAGGTATAGAGCGACAGTGTGCGGTTTAGGTTGCCGTGTATCTGCTTACGCCCTCTTTGTAGTGCCTATCAGTGACTAAGTGCGTGAAGGGATGCTGGGCATGAGTGGGCAGCCACACCTTGATCCCCACTCCCTTTCACCTTCGTCCTCCTTCCCTCAGGTGCAGAAGCTGCAGGAGTGCTGTGGTTATCGTTAAGTGACCCATCCTTCCCTCTCTCTCCCCCGGGAGCAGAAGCTGAGTTCACCTGAAGTAACTCCTCCTCCCTCTCCGTCCCCCAGGTACAGAAGCTGCAGCCGGCCGGGCCGCTGCTCTACCCTGCCCCGGAGCAGAGCTACGCCGCCGAGTCGCGCTACGCGCCCGCCGAGCCGGTCCAGGATCTGAGCAAGGTCCCCGGCTACCCCGGAAAGGACTACCCCGTGTACGCCGCCGTAAGTGACCATGGGTTCGGGTGGCAGCGATGAATATGTATCTTTTTTTTTTCTCCGTGACAAATAAAGCTTGTGTCTGTCCTGATGTATAGCAGATAACCCGTATCTGTCACCAGAAATACTCATATTCGAGCCAAATGACTCCAATGTGTGTTTCCGTGTGCCGCAGGTGCCCGACACCAAGTTCACGTGCGAGTCGGTGCCGTACCGGCCCGGCCTGTACGCTGACGTCGAAGCCGGCTGTCAGGTCAGTGTCAGCTGTCAGATGTCAGGGTCAGCGGTCAGGTCAGTGTCAGATGCGAGGTCCGCTCTCCGGGTGCTCAGCTGCACAGCAGAGTGAAAGGCCTTACCCTCAGCCCAGCGGGTCGGATCGGGGCCAGCTATCAGTGCCTAGTCTCTCGGTGCACGTTTTCCATCTCCCAGCCAGTCTACCGATACACCAATCAGCCCGGCTATCGAACTGATCACGTTCGGTGAACGCTGGTCATGCGCGTCTCGCCTCAGCGCCCAGCCGAATCGATATGGGTTATGAGACGTATCATGGGCCTGCCACGCGCTAGCCGCTGGGCTGAGAGGGCTCCATTCCGTGGCCTTAACTACAAAGCTTGTCGGAGTAGCGGAGTAACTTGCTAAACCCTCTGACTACGGATGCTACTTGACCTAACCCGACTCCGACAGGCGTACCACATCTGCGAGGAGGACAACCGTCACGGCTACACGGGCGCCGACTTCCTCTGCACCAACGGCACCATCTTCAACCAGTACGAGCTGACGTGCGACTGGTGGTACAACGTCGACTGCGCCAGCGCCGCCAAGCAGTACGAGTAAGTCATAGGGACGGAGCCGCGGCCGTCGAACCGAGGGGCGCGGCGGCACAGTGCGGCAGGGTGGGCCGCGGCGGTGAAAACGATCCTATCGCGGTTGGTTCGGTTCGCTGGATGAACGAACAACGGCGGCTGCTGCGACTTTTTGTGGGAAGAGTGAGAGTTGAAGTAACTCATTGCTTTAGTTATGACACGGGACAGCATGACTACCGATGTTATCTTGAAGTACGATTTCCCGCCTGGAGAGGCTTTGTAGCTTAGATAAAAAGGCGGGAGACACCAATAAACCGGAAGTAATGAATAGCCTACGCTGTCATACTGCGACAAGTTGCGTCAGTATGAATTAGTTATTCCCTACTATGCTGTCAAGCCGTGCCATATGCACCCATGCAGTGCGGCGTGCGCCCAGGCCTGGGATGGCCACTGATTCTACGCAACCCCTCTCTCACACTATCCCCTTCTCTCCATTCCACAGCGTCAACCTGGACCCGTACAAGAACCCGTACCTGCCAACTCCTGAGGAGGAGGCCAAGAAGAAGGCCGAGCAGAAGTACGCCCCGCAGCCCCAGTACGCCCCCGAGCCCCAGTACGCCCCGCAGCGCTACGCCCCGGAGCCCCAGTACGCCCCTCAGCCCCAGCGGTACGCCCCGCAGCCCCAGCGGTATGCCCCGCAGCCCCAGCGGTATGCCCCGGAGCCCCAGTATGCCCAGCCGCAGTACACGTACGGCCCGGGCTTTGGTGCGAGGCGTGACTATCGTCGTCAGTAGTGAATGGGCGGTGACCAGCGACTGCTGTGCTCCGGAGAATGAGTTAAGAATGTTGGGAGAGTGAGGGAGGAGTGGTGGGTGGTCAGAGTGTCGACAGAGTTAGAGGGAGAGTGGCGAGAAAGGGAGAGTGCTGGGAGTGTGTTGGTGTGACTGGTGAGTGAATGTTATTTATATACTGGTGTGTGATCATCTTTGAGCCAATTCGTGATCGGTCGTTCGTGCCAACTCGAATGAATGGATAGATCGGTGTGGAATACACGCTGCTCCGAGTGGACCGGGTTCTGTTACCGAACCCCTGCGGGGTGCTGTGGGCACGTGCCCGTCCGACCGGCCAGGGAGATACCATCGCCGCCGGGCCGGGCGGTCCGTTAGGGACCATGGTCAGTACGGCCGGCCGACGCTGCCCCAGATTCTACCGACCTTGGTGACGTCACCGCCGGCCAGGGTCGGCAGGACAATTAACCCGGCGCACGGCCGCGCCCATGGCCCTGTGGTCGGCCCACTGGTATGTACCGCGCCCGGCGGCCGTACCGAGCCCGACCGAATACATAGACACGTATACAAAGGGCACACAGAGCCCGGTCAATGGACACATGTAGACCACAGGCCCCGGCCAATACACTTACCGGCGGTACTTGACACAGAAAACGTCGGCGAAAAAGTGCTAATTAATCAGCCAATCACTCAACATGCCTGAGATGAGCGAGTGAACGGCAAAGTTGTTCTCCATGTGATGGTTTACTGTGCAGCACGCAATGACCCAGTTCAAATCATGGAATCGAAAGGAACTCTGAAGCTGAATGATTCGATAAATTTAGTCAAGGAGGTACATAAATCCTGAATTCTACGTCTAATTAGTAGTGAGCCAGGCAATGTCTCCACTACTTCGGTAGCCAGGATTTAGGAAACTTCGGTTACTTGATCACCCAGCAGAAGTGGACGGTCGCAAAAAGTGAAGCCACGAAAAAATGGACACAACTACACCAAACCAAGGTTGATGTAGCACGGGTTTCAAATCAAAATTAAATACTTCAAGATTTACCATCAGCACCGAGCAAGTGCGATCTATTATTCCACATCGACTATGAAACCAGAGCATACGACAGACAGGACATACACGTAAGAAACGAAAAGCAATGTCGTGGATTACAGTGCGCGTCGGTGCTCGCCTATCAAGTCTTTCAGCAAAGACAGTGACTCGGACATAGTCATAATAAGAGCGGGAGTGGCGAAAATGCAATATGGCAATACATATGAAACTAAAGTAGGATTTACAACAATTATCTGACACGATCATTCATAATTGATTACGACTATTCGGACACAATTGGTTTGAAAACGCCTGGAAATTCACCCCAGGTAGTCTCCAACCCTCCGCTAGTGCCCAATCTGGGCAGCACCAAACAATCAGTGAGCACAAACCATTGATCGACTTTGAACGAACACGGTCGTATCACAGTAGCTGACACTTGGTCTGACTGTAACTCAGTGTGGATATGCAAAGCGAAGAAACAGCCCCGTCTTGGGGATGGGCGGTACCAATGATACTACACGGACGGGCGAGAGGGGTGTTACGCCGGGCCGGAACTGCAGTCCCCCGGTCCCAGTCCTCCGCTGGCCACCTCTGTCCCGGCCCTCCCGGAATGGTCCCTAGGCCACCGTAGCACGGGGACAAGGCGCCAACCATGACACGGAGCTCCATTACCGCTGGACTGTGGACACTCCAAGTCACCGTCAATGTCCTACCCTACCCTCACGGGTCCCCATCATGGGGTCTCAGAGCGGCTGGGTCACCTAGAATCCGGCGAAGTCTCAGGCTCCGGACCCTAAACTGGCGTTTACCTGTGCCACCCCGGCTCCAGTCTGGCCCGCTGTGGCCACCAGTCCCTACGCTGGGACCCACACAACACTCACGACATGACGGGAAACTGGGCCACGTATCGGTACGACCCGGCAGGTGCCGGAGCTGCCGTCTCCGCCCTGAAACGGAGCAGTGTGCAGCAGGTCAGAGCAGGTAGTGACGTATGGGCATGAGACGTCACATAACAACGTGTAAATATCTTCATCTCATCTTCATCTTCATCTTCGTGTTATCGGGGCAAGAGGCACGATGTCCTGTAGGGCCCGTTCTCGCCGATTTCCATAACTTCACTTAGTACTCAGTCTGTTACAGGAGTGGAGTACCAGATCGACTCCCAGTGTGCATCCAGCCTGTTCTTAAAGACGTTGACTGAGGGCGAATGTACAATTTCTGCTGGAAGCCCGTTCCAATCGTTAATACACCGCACAGAAAATGAATTCAGTCTGGCACGGCAGGTTGCACGAGGCTTCCGTAGTTTAAGCGTGTGACCCCGAGTTCGCCTTTCAGGATTCGTTGCCAGAAGCTCTGAAGGATCAGTATCAACGTGGCCGTGCAGCATCTTGTATGCGTGAATCATATCCATGCGTCTACGCCGATAGTACAGTGACGGGAGCTTCAGTCTCTTCAGCCTTTCAGGATATGGAAGGTGGCGGATGCTCACCACTAACCGGGTGGCTCTTCTTTGAACCCTTTCGACTGCCTTCTGATCAGCTCTATTGAACGGACCCCAAACAAGACTGCTGAACTCCAGGTGAGGCCGCACGAGAGATTTGAAAAGAAGAGGCAGGGTAAATTCATCTAAAAAGGCGAAGGACCGGCGGATGACCGCAAGAACTTGAGACGCTTTGAAGACCGCCGTAGACGCTTGCTGTCGAAACTTCAAGATTGAGTCGACCTGCACACCCAGGTCTCTCTCGACTGACGTGTTTGTCAGTCTGTCCGACCCCATTTGAAATGAGTGGTGGTCCTTGGCTGCACCAACATGAAGCACTTTGCACTTATTCTCGTTAAATGGCAGCTGCCAAGTTCTAGACCATATATAATATAAAACTTTCCAACACCTCCAGCTGTTACATAATACCAGACCATGGATAAAATTATATACATGCAATTATCTCACAATATTATGTCGTTAATGCTAATAAATACCCTGATTTCTACAATCTACCGGTAAATATGATGGATATTCTGGTCTGTTAGCTGCACTTCCCTACAGCACACATATCTCTCCCCGGAATCCCCCTCCCCCTTCCTCTCTGCGGCCACACTGCCGCCACTGACCGGGTTCCGACTGCTACCGGCGTCTCCGCGTCACCGTCTCCCAGGTCCACCAGCCGATCGGTACGCTCCACGTGACGAACGGAGCCGAAAAACTCCGTGACGCGCACATCGGCCGGGTTCCGCGGGAACAGGTCACTGCGGACGCCCACCGTAGAGACGCACTGGTGCCGCGGGCACACCCGCAGCTGGGGAAACGGGACGGTCAGATCACGTCAATCAGGCACACAAAAGGCAGTGGGGAAGCGCAGGACGGGAGGCAGTCATAACTCTGCAATGGGAAATGCGTAAGCATGCTAGGGTGTAATATCAAGAAATACCATCCAAAGATATTACGGCGTAATCAAAATATTCTAAACCGAACGTTTAATTAGTAGATTGTTCGTCCATTGAACTGTCCACAGTGATGCACTTACGAAGTCGGCCATGGACTTTTTGCTGTCCTTTCTCAGTTTTTCCATGAAGTCGAGGGCGTGGTAGGTGTATTTGTCAATGACGTATACACCCAGCGAGGAGTCCAGGTGGTGCTGTGACGGAGAGTGGGGGAACGGGCGTCAGTCTAGTCGCCACTGTTCAATACATACTGTGACTACAGTTACAAGACGCATCAGTCACGAGACGACAACGCCTGACCAATAACCCAGCTGGAGTCACCAACATGGAGAGTCATGGCACCGAACAGCAGCAGGGGAGCTTTTGAGGACACGTTTGTTATAAGTCCAGGGATCTAGTGTCATCGGGTGATCGCTACCATAGCTCCAATAAAGAGCAGAGACGTTTCCATCAGGTATGCGCTGGGCGTCAGGTTAGCGATCGTGGGAGAGAGGAAGGGGAGAGGGGTCTCCGCAGTCTCACCGAGAGCGAGTCCTCGCCGACCTGGCTGCTGGCCACCGCCAGGATATTGGGAGAGTAAAACTTCTCGTACATCGACGCCGCCTGACACGTGTCGATCATGAAAAATATGTTGTTGTACCTGAGGAGAAAAACTGCATAATGAGCTCCCCGCCACTCACTGGCTATCTTTTTGACCGACCCTTTATGACTCATCACAATAGTTGTAACCATGAATTTACAGCGACGTCAGTGACATCAATTGACCTACAGCGCTACCACGTCTGCCTCTGGCCTACCACTCCTCCCCCAGCTGACATGCGCTGCTGCCACCCCTCCCCCAGTTGACCTGCACTGATACCACATCTGCCCTCCGACCTGCGTTGCTGCCACATCTGCTCGAAGGCGTCGGCCAGCTCTGTGCTGGTGATCTCCTCGGCGTCCTGGAACTTGAGGAAGCCGTCGCCGCCGTGGCCCGTCATGTAGATGAGCACGTTGCTGCGGTCGTCGGTGAGCAGTCGCTTGGTGGGCGGCGTGGAGGGCTCCAGACGGCCAGTCAGCAGCCGCACCAGCCGCTCCACCGTCACCTGGGGATGGGGTCCGTGACGGTCTGATACTCAGTCTGTGACGGCCAGACGCACGATTCGTTACGGACAGTGTCACACGATTCGTGACGGCCAGTGACACACGGTCAGTGACGGCCCCGACCGGTCATGTATGGTTCAGGCAGTGCACCAACACACTATCGACCCAGTGAATGGCCAACATGCGCAGGGCAGGTTCTGAGTCTCGCCGCACACAAGGTATATTGACGACACTATCGAAAACCCCATAGTTCAGTTTATAATTTTAACGAGAGTGTGCGTGTTCAGGCATTTTCGATTGACAGATCCACGTCCCATCTCTTTTTGCGCGTTCGTTGTGCTCCGTGGCACAACAGTTGGCCGTGATTCAGCCTTTCGCGAGGCGCTCCGTACTTTCGTAACATCGCAGCCACCTGGACAGGCCCGTAATGTTCGACAAAACAGCAGAGAGGCAGTGAGCGAACCGTCGCCTCAGCCTCACCTCTCCCTGCAGGGGGCGAACCGCCACCTCGCCCGTCGCTCCGTGAAGCCGAGCGCCACCCACCTCGTCGCCGCGGTAGTCGACCTCGACGTCGCTGCCGTACACGTTGATGTGCTGGTTGGCGTTGTTGAAGACCGTGGCCGGCCGCGGGTTCCGCGGGTTGCAGGCCATGTCGTCGGCCAGCATCAGGATAATGTGACTGAGGCAGACAGACATGAATAATCAGTCAATGAAAGATGCATCAGCAACATACAAAATCCCCTGTCAAATCAACATACCATGGCCCAGGTTCACTGACAAAGCAGACATCACAAAGCTCACAGAACTGCTCACCATCTCATTGGCTAAAACTGAGCAGCACTGCTGAAATGGGTGTGACAAGTGTAACAGATCATCATGGACAACATTACAATATGACTGTCTGCTACCTGTCTGGGATTCCCAGTTTCTTGACACTTCTGTAGACAGACAGGACGTTGGCCACATGGCGGTAGTTGAACCAAAACCGGGAGGCATCCACCAGCACAGCCCAGTTGTTGGTGTGGTTTGTGAAAAACCCAGCTGGTATCTGAGAACAGAAATGTGTCAGACTATCAGACTCTCTCAATGCAATTGATTGAAGTCACCACAGCTACCACACTGAATAACAATTGGGTCAAGCTATCACTCTAATATAGGTTAAAATGTAGCTTTAAAAAAATAGTACAAACATATATTATATCATTAGTGAAGACAGTGTTAAGAAGGGGATGTTGGGTCCAGAATCCAATAGAAGCATCTACACTTTCCTAGCTTCTGAGCTAGGACATTTTCTATCAATAGACCTCTACTTCTCTACTGTGAGTGCAATGGGACACACAGGAGCCTTTATCATACACAGTTATTTGAGGCCCATTAAACTAAGAACTGCTTAAGTTGATCATACAGATAAATGGTTTACTTTGATGCAAAATAAAAGTAATTGACTATGGGGCCATGTGCAAGGCTTTAGTATGCACCTACCTATAGGTAGTGGGTATACCCACTAAGTAGGCACCCATATTAATTATAATAAAAAGGACCCACTTTTGCATCTGATTGCAAGAATAACAGAATTGACCGATTTCACATTTGTCATTGTAGGGGCTCAGTCATTTTCTTTTGAACTTTTCATTGCAATATTTGTGAGAAATGATAATGGGCTTTAATATCTATTTTATTCTTAAACTAGGTACATCTTTGGATAGTTTAGACCCATTCAGCTCCACCTTTTGTGCTATTTTTGCTGGTTCCAAAGATGTCACAAGTATGAAGCATCTAAATTTATAGAAAATACGGTATATGTCAAGTTTAGGTCCTAACTACAATTGTGGCGCTGTTGATACGAATATGAAACAGCAAAAATTTTAGGTTTTAGGTTAGGTTAGGTTGTAGGTTTGTAGGTTTTAGGTTGTAGGTAGGTAGGTTTGTAGGTTAGGTTAGGTTAGGGTAGGTTTGTAGGTTGTAGGTTGGTAGGTAGTAGGTAAGTAGGTAAGGTTAGGTCAGGTTTGATTATGTTTTTTTCTTTTATTTGCGAGACATATGAGTATCATTTTTGGATTCAGGATGTCAAAGGGTTTGTTCCCGTCGCTCCTCTAACCTCCTCCAAGCTCCTCTAACCTCCTCTCGTTTCAAAAAATTGTTCCCGTCGCTCCTCCAAGCTCCTCCAAGCTCATCTTGATTTCACATCTCACCACCACTATTTGCCTCCTCCCTCATCCCAAACGAAAGTTGGTTTTTTGGAGGAGGCTCTTGCGTAGACATATTTGGCGCACGTAATACAAATGTGAATTGTTTATAAATGAGATTTGAGGGAAGTGGAAATGGTTTTAGTGATTGATGACGATTGGATATCTTTAAATAGTAATGTTTGATATCAATCTAAGGTTATTTTATTAGAAAGCGATTATTATCTCTTGATTTATGTTTGCGCGCCATAAATCGCCGACCGTTACAGCCCGCAAACAGCTGATTTCCTCGCTAAAATGTTCCCGTGGCTCCTCTGAAACGGCTCTCCTCCAAGCTCATCCAACCTCATCCGAGATTTTTTGGGAGGAGCGACGGGAACAGACCCAAATAATGTAAAAATATGGAAAATTTATCAATGAAATCTTCTTAGGACTTAAACTTGACATTTACCGAAAATACATCAATATGTGTAGGCATACCAAAGTCAATAATGTCATAATATTAATTATTTCTCCCACTATTACAAAAATATTTCAATTTCAATTTGTCATTAACTTACTTCACTACAATCAGCATGATTCAGAAGCAATATAATGCACAGAGGAAATACAAATAGTTTCATGACTTGGGCTTGAAACGAGGAACATCAAATGAAAAGTCTTTCTATATTTGAAGGTTCCTAGTGACTTTGGTGACTGTCACGCTTTGCATAAAATTTCTATGTAATTAAGTACGCCCTTATCGGGGTGTTTTGTGCACTCGCGACTCAGGCTGCCTTATATTTATTTTGAAGCAGCTGCGTCAGAAATGAAACAATAGCTATAACCACTATAACACTGCAAAATCTTGAAGACAACTGCCGTCAGGAATGTAAAAGGCGATTATTTATTAAGCTTTTATTTATCTTTTAAAACGATAGATTATGATATATAAATATTCCCTGAAATATATTCAATGTTTTATTAATAAAATGACAACTTTCAGGGAAGAACAGTGAAAATTGAGTTGCAAACTAGCAACTTTTTACGTCATTTGGTCTTTTCATTCACGCTGTCAACAAAAACACTGCCAGAAGAGCAAATTCACTCGCAGGGTCACCGCAGGTCATCGCATTGCAATAGATTTTTGCTAAGGGATTTTGCAACGTTCTGCACTGCATTGCTTTGTACATAACGAGGCTGAGGCTGAATGGGGGAAAGCCGGGGATGGCCTGGGAAAATTGTAGCACTTGATCAGACCTGACTGTCTGAAAATGTCTGAAAATCTTAGGAAGACATTTGGCTTGGATTTCGATTTTGAAAAGTTTGTTGGGGACGATGACAGGTAAGCCTATTTCTTTTGATGAAAAAAGTGGCCTTCACTATGGAGCCCTTATTAAAAATCACAGCTGCAATTGCTCTTTTATATGGTGCCAGTGGTAACAGCTTCAATTCATTTTGTATTGATTCATTTTTATAAATTTATTATTTTTCGTGCTACTCTTTTGTGCTACTACTGGGACGCTCTGTGGTCCGCTGCGTAGAAGATGTAGGTAGGTATTCCATGGAAAGATTGGTAGGTAATTATCTATCTCCAATCAGAAAGGCTTACGTGTTATGTGTATTCAATGAAGTCACATGGTTGTCTTCCAGTAACTAGTGCAATGCAATGACATTAAAAGCAAATGTGAAAAAAATGTTTTTCAAAGATGGTGTTGCTATGATTAGAGTGAAATCCCTCTTTTGCACCCTATGCTCAAAAAAGGAGGAAATCACCATGATAGAAAATTACAAAGGAAAGATTTAAGGTGCTGTGAGCTATCAGTTCCTTCTTAAGGGTGTTTGGCTCTAGCATGACAGAACTAGTGGCTGATTTATGGTGGCTTTAATGTCTTTCAACCCCTTCAAACCAAACTTTTGGACATCATAAACATCCTTCTGTAACATGCCTATATATCCCTTGACCTTAGAAGGGAGTTAACTGTCACAAGCCATGCTCCCCATATTCCCCTTCCATGTTACTAAGAATCCAACTTAATGATTGTGTGATTAGATTATGAATATTTGGAAATAATAAATGTTCTAGGTAGTTGAGGCCCAGTTTATGAGCTAGCAGGGGTCTAAGCAGTGCTCAGATGACAAATGGTGCTAAGGTTATAAAGGAATGTTTTATTTTAAGACATTTGGGTCCAGACTGATCTAATCCCCTGACTGTTGACCCTGAGCTTTGTGAGTGGGTAGTGATCATTGTCTGAATGTTTGTTATGGGCTCAATGCAGTACCTAGCATGTATCCATTGGCCCAAGCACCTGCTCCCTACCACCTGCAGAAGCTATCCCTGTCCATCAACCTGCCCTGACCTGTCCTGACCCTATCATGTCCCTACAGTCCACTGAGCTCATCTGCTCTGTCCACCAACCTGTCCTGATATCTGACCCTCCCTGCTCTGCTGAGGTCTGACCTCCCCTGCCCATTCTGACCCTCCTCTGTCCCCTCTGACCCTGTCCTGTCCTTCTGGACCTTCCTGTCCCCTCTGACCCCCTTCTCTCCCCTCTGTCCCTCTAGCCCTCTGTCTTTTCTGACCCTCCAATCTCTTCTGACTTTCCTGTTTCCTCTGACCCTCCCCTGTTCCTTCTGACTCTCATCTCCCCTCTAACCCTTCCTCTCGCCCTCTAGCCTTTCAATCCCCTGTCTTTTATGACCCTCCTGGCCTTCTGACCCTGCCATCTCCCTTCCGATCCCCTCCTGTCCTTATGACCCTTCATTTACAATCTGCCGCTGCGCCTCTGAGTTCTGACCCTCCCCTATCTCTTTGAATTGAACACTCCCTGTCTTTTTGACCCTCCCCTGTCCATCTGACACTCCCTTTCCCTACAGCCCACTGTGAAATACCTGCCCTGCTCAGCAGTTGGCTGACCCTCCCCTGTTACCCCCAGCGAGGGCGCAGATGGCGGAGAGGAGGACCCGACCGCTGGACCAGATGCCACCTCCCCGGTGCCAGTACCCGGGCAGAGCTCTCCGGAGGACGAGGACCGGTTCGACTCCATGGGAATCTCGGCTGATCACGTGCTCGCCGAGTACATGGAAATGGCCAAAACGCCGCCGCGCGCCACGCGACGGCAGAAGGAGAAAAAAGCGTACAGGTCAGTACGACGCTGCGCATTCCTAGACGCAGACCAGGTACCCTTCATTCTTAAGCTCATCGACTTTTTTGAAAGGGTGCACTTTGGCTGTTGTTTTTAAGACACCTTTCATTGATTAACAACTGGAGGAAGACAATCTGGCTGTCGGCTGAAATATAAAACTGCCTATATGAAGTAACTTTTCATTTATTTCGATTCTTATTAACGTTTTTGCGCGCTTCCCCGCTTACAGCAGCGCTTGTAGCTTTGATTCCGGATGCTTGTCTTATCACATTGATTTGCGTCGATCAGTCTTAAGTGACTAACCGGCGCCCGGAAATGCCGATAGCAATCCTATCGAGTGACGAGTGGTGTCAGTGTGCTGACATCTATCGCAATACACACTTCAAGGTTCACAAACATGTCAAAAGGTGTAGGTACGGCGGACGGCCCGTTTACGTAAAGTCAGATGTGAGTTTGGTTGGTGAGTTTACTTGCTGAGATCTTGGTGGTCATACGTCTGCTAAAAGTTACCGTTTTGTTTTCCCTGGTCATTGTGCGCGATTTACCGACATTTAGCCAGCGAGCCTCTCGTCAATGATGTATATTTTCCTCTCTCCATCGAGTTCGTCGAATCCATCGTAGTCCCACCGGACAGCGCATTTCAAACGAAACGTTGCTGATAGGTTCAGACATAGACTAGGTACTCCATATCATAAATTACCCGGCACAGTCATGAATGATGGCCATAATACATTGTGCCGAGTTTTAGCGGGCTCCGGCGGTCTCCTTCCGGTCTTTCCGACGAGTGCTCGGCGTCACCGCTGCAAGGCACAACGACTGGTCAGCGCAAGGGCGGAGCCTCCGCAACCAGTCTAGGCCTGTCACTGACTCAACATCCAATATCACGACATAGCCAGAGTGGGGAACGCAACGATAAGGTGTAAAAAGCGAAAAATTCCTCTGATCCGCTCGTTGCCTACTGTTTCTCCGCTCTTTTCTCCGCTCAGTGGTATCCTCTTTTCTCCGCTCCCAGTCTGTTTGTCGTCTACTAATGTATGTCCCTGTCACCGCCCACTGATGCATCTCGCTGGTCTGCCCGTCGCCCACGGAATGTGTATCTATCTCCCTGGTCCGTTGATCTCCCAGCAACATCTCTCGGCCGCCCGCTGATGTCCCTTTCCGGTCTGTTCGCCACTCGCTGATGTCTGTCTCTGGCCTGTGTTACCGCCAGGAACCAGGCACAGGCGGCCAGTAAGAACCTGAAGGCGAGTCTGAAGCGGCGCTCGTCGATGGACCGCTACCTCTCACTCCCGGTGTTCATGGAGGGCTCCGACGAGCCGCCGGCGGAGGACACGGTCGATTGGCACAGAGGCGAGTAGACGAGGGATAATGGGTGGCAGTTTTTAGACGAATGTGTAGTTCGGTGTTTTCGAAATGTGTTTGACTCATTCCCTTGATGTTATGTTCGCCAGACGTCGACGTGCGTTGCATGCTACCCTTCTTGTGCATGTTTCTTTTCACAAACCAGTGATTCTTTACTCGATAATTAGTATTTGTAATTCTCCAGTTGACCTGATAGAAACCACATTCAGCAATGCCCTTTGAAAACGGCTCCAGCCTTATTTGCTGCCCTCATTGGCCTGTTCATCCCCTCGTTCTGTACTTTGCTCAACACTGACATGTTCTCACCACATTTTCTCTCCTGCGCTTTCCGTGGTATAAGAAATTAACCGGCTGGCCGTGCAGCATAACCGATGAATGGCGCGCTGCTGAAAATGCTCTGGGAGCTGCATTTCTGTGATCGGTTCGCTGACTCTGGTCTAACGGTGGTCTGACGGTGGTCTTATGACGTTGGTCTAATGACGGTGGTCTAATGACGGTGGTCTAATTGTGGTCTGACGGGGGTCTGACGGTGATCTAACGGCGGTCTAACGGTGGTCGGACGATGGTTTGTTTGTGGTTCGACCGTGGTCTGACTGTGGTTTGTGTGACCGTGCTCTGTTTGACTGGTCTGGTGGTGGTCTGAACTCGTTCTGTGTTCTGACGACGCTGGTCTGAAGCACAGTCTGTCTGTTGTCGGAAGGTGGCCTGACTGTGGCCATGGTCTGACGGTGGTTTGTGTGACCGTGGTCTAACTATGGTCCGTGTGGTGGTCGGTGTGATGTGGGTCTGACTATGGTCTGTGTGCTCGCTGCTGGCAGACCGTCTGCCGTCTGCCGATATTTCCTCTGGCGGTGACGGTAAGCTGCGCGCCGCCAGCTTGGTTTGGGGTGGGTGGCCTGGGCGCGACTGAACGCTTCTCACAGCCACGGCTCGCCTGTTCTCAATCTTTGACGCTCGAAACTATTCTTTTTACACTAGTTCCGCATTGCGCTGCCGTGCTTTTTTGACCGCCATGTTCGTATCTTCATCCAAAAATGGTCGGGTACTCCTGTATTTCATTAAGTTCATTTTGGCTTGTTATTCGTTCCCACACACACATTTGCGAGTTTTTTTTTTCTAAGCGCCAGTGTGTAAGTCCATTTGTCTGCGCTTATTTTATGTTGACTGCTTTGGGCTGGCGTAGCTCTCTTATCAATAGTAAACGCATGCCACTGACCCTGCTGTTGCCGGGGCCCTGGCAGTTGGCACGCTCGCTGGCTGGTGCATGTGCGCGGATGTGGCTGCTGATATACGCTTCG